AGACAGATTACCATTAGAATGTTAGTATAAAGACAGATTACCATATAGAATGTTAGTATAAAGACAGATTACCATTAGAATGTTAGTATAAAGACAGATTACCATATAGAATGTTAGTATAAAGACAGATTACCATTAGAATGTTAGTTTAAGACAGATTACCATTAGAATGTTAGTATAAAGACAGATTACCATTAGAATGTTAGTTTAAGACAGATTACCATATAGAACGTTTGTATAAAGACAGATGACCATATAGAATGTTAGTATGTAGACAGATTACCATATAGAACGTAAGTATGTAGACAGGTGACCATATATAATGTTAGTATGTAGACTGATTACCATATAGAACGTTAGTATGTAGACAGGTGACCATATATAATGTTAGCATGCAGACAGATTACCAAATAGAACGTTAGTATGTAGACAGATTACCATATAGAACGTTAGTATGTAGACTGACAACAATACAGATTGCTAGAATTTAGACCGACTACTATATAAAATGTTAGTATGTAGACAGACTACCATATGGAATGTTAGCATGTAAACAGATTACAATACAGAATGTTAGTATATAGACGGATTGAAATATATTATGTCAGTATGTTGACAACATACTTTAAACAACATTGTTATGTTGACCGACTACCTGTTGATACCAGTATGAAGACCGATTAGTATAACGAACGTATTAACATAGTTCTTCAACTAAATATTCAAACCAGCAGTCATCGTTTGATGTTTTCAAATGTTTATGTTTTATTAGTTGTTCCTAAAAGTTGACTTCGTAACCTGTCATTGCTGCTAGTATTTTCTTACATGTGTCCTTTTGCAAACATATACAAATTTATATAACTTTGTTAAATGTGTTAAAAATCTGTAACTGGTCAAGAAATAGATTTATCAGTCGAGGGCTAATATTCATAGACTGAGATAATTTTATCTCGCTCAGTAAAACGTAATTGATCTTTTCCTCAAACCTTGATATTCATTTATTTATATTTTAAGAGTATACTGTCAGGGGCCAGTTTAATACGGCGCTACGGAAGCTATGTTTAAACTTTTCTAGACAGGCAATGAAATCCATGTTGTTAAGAGAAGGAAAACATAATTCACGATTTAGATGATAAGTTATATACAAGAACCAAAAACACTACACGATGAAAAGACAAAAATACTTATTGTAAATTTGTTGATAAGCGCAGATCATTACAGCAATGTGGCAAATGAGACAAACATGTAGCACTGGGTATAAAATAGAATATCAATTTCTGAGGTGCGAGAATAACATTCATGGAAAGGCGTAAAACATCGCGTCATGCATGTGCAGGTAGTACATATTGTAGATATTAAAGTAGGAGATCTACGCTATCAAATACACTGCTATTCCCCCCAAAAATCTAAATATGCGTTTTAAAATGTTTGATTTTAACATTTTAAAGTTTCAGTACGTATCAATACTTTTGGCATTCTGGAAAATAAGAAATTCCTATAGATTTAACATGATCACTCGATTTCTGTTTATAGATGGAAAACAAGCAGAAGTGCTGGCCATTTATGTGGATGCTGAAAACCTGAATTTGGAATACTAGAGCAAAGAACGGATTTGTGCCCTCAATACCTAAAGGGTGATGACGCCAACAGCTTGGTGCCTAATTTCAAGAAAAATGATTTTAAATGTTGTGAGATTTTTCTAAGAAATAAAAATAGTCTCCTGGAACTTCATATACGACGATCACACAAAACGACGATCTTTTGCTTATTTACAATAAAATGATGTGTTGTACTTACATTTAAACAGTCAATAGTGTACCTTTATTTCAACGATCAACACTTGTTTTTACATTTCAATAATATGCAGTCGTTCCTACATTTTAGCTATCAACAGCTGTACCTATATTTAAACGACACACAGTTGTACCTATAGTTTAATGACCCACAGCTGTACCTATATTTAAACGACCCACAGCGGTTCCTATATATCCTTAGTTCGGATAGTTGGGATGGGGGCTTTGGAGATATTTGAAAGAGATAAGCATTACACAAGAAAATACAAAATCGGATTGCAGAAATTGATAAAACAAAGGCAAAATATGAACAAGAAAATGATATATAAGGAGACTCTTTGAAAAATATAAGCAAAATAGACCAGGTGTTCTGAAAGGTCGCCGACACGAGCCATGTGTAAAATAGACCAGGTGTTCTGAAAGGTCGCCGACACGAGCCATGTGTAAAATAGACCAGGTGTTCTGAAAGGTCGCCGACACGAGCCATGTGTAAAATAGACCAGGTGTTCTGAAAGGTCGCCGACACGAGCCATGTGTAAAATAGACCAGGTGTTCTGAAAGGTCGCCGACACGAGCCATGTGTAAAATAGACCAGGTGTTCTGAAAGGTCGCCGACACGAGCCATGTGTAAAATTCAAGTAATATGTCATGTTCTTACAGCGAGAACAATGGTGATGATTATCACACAAGAGAAACCATTGTGAGAGATCATGAAATTTGCCCTTAATCTTCATCAACCTGTATCGTTCTAATAACAAATAGAAACAAATATTCAGCCCCGATATCAATACAGTTGAACGAAAACAATTTAGCATTTAAAAAGTTTAAACTTACTGTTATGCAAATTCACCACATAGTTTTGATGCGTTTACTTTTAGAATTATTTAAAGGATTATAAATGTTGGCAATTTGTTTTATGTTCAAATTATTACATAACTACAAAGACTAGTTTTATATGGAAATGTCTTTGTTCTAAGTAAATTAATTCATTCTTATTGAAATAATTGAAGTAAAGCATACATTTCATGTTTTTTTTTTATTACTCTATTCACTGTTGCTGATATTGTTTTATGATAATTGGATTAAAAGCAATTAAATACAATTTAAGAAACGTCATGCCCAGGACAATCGCATACAGTTTCCTTGATAGTGAGAGTGGAAGTAAGGTGATCCAGCGAAAATGACGCACAATCCTTGTGCGTTTCGTTGCCTTCCCTTAGAGTCACGTGTCCAGGTTTCCCAACAAAATGGATATAAGACTGATTTTTCAATGTATAGACAAAGAAATTGCAACTATTATGGTATTTGGACTTGAATATACACCGGCCATTTAGCTTCACAGTCGCCACACAGTCTTCCGTGTGCTCGGTTACGTTACACGATGTCTCGGCTGAAAATTGAATATGAAATTATGATAAATGTATTTGTCAAGGTTCATAAAAAGTTCTGTTGTAAATATTTGTCGGGCATACAGCATTTTAAATGGAAAGCAAGCTCAGTGATAGCAGCGTTGTTTAACTATCAAATGAGATATGCAGTATACACATGAGTGTTTACCTAGTGAACAACGGTAGTATACGTCATACGATATAAAAACCCATACACATGAACGTTATTCGCGAACAGTATTCATATGCACATATATGCCAGACAAGAAAGGGTATACTAATTTATATATCGCTTTCATTGAGCATCACATAAAGGATGGTAATACATACGTATATATACCTCCCAAACAAGACAGGTACATATAAATGTGTCCTTCAGGAAACATTATTCCATTCCTGTATAAGTCTTCACACTGTACACACCTTCATATACTCAAGGACAACATCACTCACCTTTATATACCCTCCGACAAAGTTACCACATATCTAACTGTTCCCCTTAGACAACAGTTATACTCATCTATATCCATCCCGCAGAAAATATTACTCTATACTCCGCAAACAATATAAATACATATTCATATTCAACCCACAGACAACATCACTACACATATCTATATACCCCTCAGACGACACTATATACCCCTCAGACGACACTATATACACCTCAGACGACATCACTACACATATATATATCCCCTCAGACGACATCACTACACATATATATATCCCCTCAGACGACATCACTACACATATATATAGACCCTCAGACGACATCACTACACATATCTATATACCCTCAGACGACACTATATACACCTCAGACGACATCACTACACATATATATATCCCCTCAGACGACATCACTACACATATATATATCCCCTCAGACGACATCACTACACATATCTATATACCCTCAGACGACACTATATCCCCCTCAGACGACACTATATACACCTCAGACGACCTCACTTCATATATATATACCCTCAGACGACATCACTACCCATATCTATATACCCTCAGACGACACTATATACACCTCAGACGACATCACTACACATATATATATCCCCTCAGACGACATCACTACACATATATATATCCCCTCAGACGACATCACTACACATATATATAGACCCTCAGACGACATCACTACACATATCTATATACCCTCAGACGACACTATATACCCCTCAGACGACACTATATCCACCTCAGACGACATCACTTCATATATATATACCCTCAGACGACATCACTACCCATATCTATATACCCTCAGACGACACTATATACACCTCAGACGACATCACTACACATATATATATCCCCTCAGACGACATCACTACACATATCTATATACCCTCAGACGACATCACTACATATAGATATATACCTACATATCTATATATACCCTCAGACGACATCACTGCACATCTATATATACCCTCAGAGGACATCACTACATATCTATATATACCCTCAAATGACATCACTAAACATAAATATACATATACCTTCAGACGACATCAGCACTCATATATATACCTTCAGATAGCATCATTACACATCTATGTATACCCTAAGAAGACATCACTACACATTTCTACATACCCTCAGACGACATCACTGCACATCTAAATATAACCTAAGACGATATCACTACATATATATATATATATATGTATATACCCCCAAACGACATCATTAAACATCTATATATACCCTCAGACGACATCACAACACACATATGTATATACCCTAAGACGACATTATATATCCCTTAGACGACATCACTACACATATACATATGTATATATACCCTCATACGACACTATATATCCCTCAGAGGAATACACTGCACATAATATATATACCCTTAGACGGCATCACTACAGATCTCTATATAAATACCATCAGACAACATCACTACATATATATATATCTTCCTCACACAATATTAATACATATCTTTAGATACCCCTCAGACAGCATCACTACATATCTATATATATACCCTCAGACAACATCACTACACACATATATATACCCTCAAACAACATCACTACATATATATAAATATACCCTCAGACAGCATCACTACACACACATATATATATATACCCTCAGACAGCATCACTACATATATCTATATATACCCTCAGACAGCATCACTACATATCTATATATACCCTCAGACAGCATCACTACACACATATATATATATTCCCTCAGACAACATCACTACACATATATTATACCCTCAGACAGCATCACTACACATATATATATATCCCTCAGACAGGATCACTACACACATATATATACCCTCAGACAACATCACTACACATCTATATAAACCCTCAGACAGCATCACTACACACATATAAATATCCCTCAGGCAGGATCACTACACACACATATATATACCCTCAGACAACATCACTACATATATATATATAACTTCATATCTATATATACCCTTAGACAGCATCACTACACACACATATATATACCATCAGACAACATCACTACACACATATATATACCCTCAGACAGCATCACTACACATAATTATATATCCCTCAGACAACATCACTACACACAAATATATTCCCTCAGACAACATCACTACACATACATATATATATATATACCCTCAGACAGCATCACTATACACATATATATATATATATATACCCTCCATCAGCATCACTCCACACACATATATATATATACCCTCAGACAGCAACACTACACACATATATATATATATATATATATACCCTCAGACAACATCACTACACATCTATATATTCCCTCAAACAGCATCACTACACCCATATATATATATTCCCTCAGACAACATCACTACACATATATATATACCCTCAGACAGCATCACTACACACACATATATAAACCCTCAGAGAACATCACTACATGTATATATATACCCTCAAACAACATCACTACATAAATATATATAACTACATATCTATATATACCCTCAGACAGCATCACTACACACACATATATATACCCTCAGACGACATCACTACACACATATATATACCCTCAGACAGCATCACTACACATCTAAACATATTCATCACACACCATTAAAACATATCTTTATATACCTCTCAGGCAACATTACTTCACATCTACATATATACCTCAGACAACACCACTACACTAACATATATATAAACCCCCAGATAACATTTCTACACACCTATATATACCACCCGAAAATAACGGCCCAGTCCTGAATACAAGTAGTATATATTATGAGTTTCATATTGAAAAATATGATAACTTCCCTGACTATTAAAATCGGACAACAACATAATGCGTTGTAGATTTGCCATTCGGGAAGTAACACGAGGTCAAATTCACTGTCTATATTACACAATTCAAAACATTTTATGCTTACTCATGTAACCTGCCTAAATCCTACACGACTTAAAATAGCTATGTAACCGGCGGACAAGAACAAGGACCTCACAGAGGGAATGGTAATAACCACCAAACAAAATGTGTACAGTCGCCTTAAAATAGTTCCGTCTTCAGATTTGTACACAAAAATAATAAGACTTATTTGGATAAGTATTCAATAACTGAATAAAGCATCTTTTGTAAAAATAACTGTTTAGCAAAAATAATTTTAACTGAATTAATTTCAGGGCAAATGCACCGAAATATATCTGTAAAGAAATAAAGCAGTTTCTTACGTGTGCATGTGTATCCGTCGCCAATGAAGCCAGGTTCACAAGCACAATTGTAAAATCCATCAACTACTTTACATGTGGCCCATTCATTGCAACCTTCATCTGAGGCGATGATCTCAAATCTGGCCGTTCTCTTACTCTTGACACATTTCTCCACCGCAGTGCAGTCACTAGTCCGGCGGATGGAGCCAAGCTATTAGGAACATAAGTACATATGTAAGTACAGTGTTGCATGCATTAAACAAAATATCTAAACAAAACACGTTCACGGCTACATTTGATTAAAACTGTTTTCAATTGTGACCATCCCCGTAAATGAAGACATACCTTGTAGTATCTCCCTTTGTCTTCACATCCACAGTCTGCTTTACGGACACACGTGTTTCCACTTTCGAAAAAGCCTCCCTTACACATACAGCCGTCGACCTTTGGTCGCGTGCAGTCCCTTACTGCTCTCTTGTTAGCACACGAGTTAGCACATCCCCGGCTCATCGCTCGGTACACTGATTGTTTCGGACAATTCAAGCCCACCTCTGCAATAAAAACATGACACGTTAATAATCCCAATATCATTATAATCAGGAGTAATAGGATGTACAGGCCAAAAGCATTGTGACACGTTACATACAACATAACTTTAAACGATTTTAACGTGACAAGTTATTAGATTATAGATTATTTCGTATATCAGCAGTTCGAACATTAATGATAAAGTGTCAAAGATTCCACGTTTTATTTTCTCCAGTATAAATATGCAATTCAGGTCACCTTTCATTCACAACATATGTAAATACTAGGGCGCAATGGAACATCTTCTAATGTCAAGTTTACTTATTTTGAAAACATTCACTTACATGATTATAGAAAAGGTTAAATCGACAAAACTAATAAACAAGATAAACAGCTAAAACGCTCAAAATATTAAATTGATGTATTCTTTCGTCAATTGATGTGTTTTTATTGGATTAACCTGCATTTTGTCTATTTAAACCAACTCCGTATAGTCTACAGTATTGGTTGGTCCTCTTAACACTGTAAGCCTGATAGCCTGTAGACTTCGCATAGTGTGTATGACTCAGCAAACTATGCTTAGTTGTGACGCATAGAAGATTGTATGTTATGATTAGTCTTTGTTTCTAGGACTAATACGAGTGACCCTATTACCCTCGTGTACCAAAGACTTGGGGAGAGATGATAGAGGATTGTATGTTATGATTAGTCTCTATACGTAATTAATGCTAATTATTATTGTGCAATTTACCACTACCTTGTGCGTCTTTTCAGACCGTGTTCATTGCTGAATATAAACACCTTTTAAAGTAAACGGAACAGAGTCCTATTTAGTGTACACTAAGACACAGAGCGCTACATTAAGCTTTTATTGTATTTATATTACACAAATTAAACCTACAATGGAACGCAAGGGAATGCATGAGAGGTAATCTACTGACTTGTATTTTTGATAGGTTATACTACACTCACTACACGCCCGCGACCTCCATCTGGCCAATGTGTTCATCTTGCTACATCTTGCTGCGTACCCCTCCAATACGGTACATAGAACTTGCTCTCTGACTTTTCTGTTTCCGAAAATATCACAATAATCCTGAACACACACGTTATACATGTCTTTCGCTAGTAACGGGTCTGCCTTGATGCACTTCAGAAACTTCGAGCGTTTAACATCAGGACGGAGTTGACCACATTTACCCGGTCTACCTACGATCTTTTTGGGGCCAACTTTACATTGTTTTGGTGTAGCAACCGTGCATCTGAAAGTTAAAAAGAAAGTAATGAGCAAACATTTGGTTGGGTAGTATCTTGATAGTTTCCAAAGTTGTATTTACGCAATAAGTACACAAATATTAAATTGAATACACTTGTGGTTCATCTCAACTTATCACTAATTCATGCGACTATTTATCTTTGTATCAAACAAATGAAGCCAACCGTATGGTACGTTTGTTACAAAACATCAAATAGCCCCTTTCTACTCTATCGACATATAACACGTACTGATTTAGTATGAACGTGGCTGCACTAAGTGGTTGTTATGAAAATACCAGTCAGTTAATGAATGCCCACATTACATATTGTAGTTTATTGACAAATCATTAAAGAGAGCGAAGTAATTAAGAGGTATTTAATTGAGCTTGCTTGAGAAATGACATGTTAATCGTTATGTCAAAGAGGAACATCGCTTTTATATAATTTAGCACACATTCACCATCCTGTAGACAGGGATGATTGTTTTGTATGCTGGTTTGGTTTGGTTCAGTATTGTGTAACGTCCTATCAACAGCTATGGTAATTTAAGGACGGCTTCTCCTGTGTGCAAGATACAAGCGTGTAGTGTATGCATGTTTGTTTTGGGAGGCTGCGTTATGTTCGTGTTTGTGCAATCAGAAAGTATGATACATAAACAGTGGGGTTTGAAGTATCATCAAGGTACGCGTGATATAACACGCAATATCTACTTGTATGATCTTCATTGACGTTGCAATCACTTTCTGAAAATGTACTTACACTCTAGGCTTCCCGTCCAGCAAAGCGGGTGTAACGTAACTGTTCCCGATCTCAGTGTCCCTATCGGCAGACTGTGACACATCCTGGCGCTCTCGGGTACGGTAGTCGTCCTGTTGTCCGTTACAGTCACCACACAGGCCACTGAGTCCGGGGCTGTACGTGGACGGTGTCTCTACTAGCACCGTAGCCTTGCCACTCCACTGAATACTGACGTAGCTGTCAGTCTCCACCAGTGTATATACTCCACTGCGATATATCCTTAAAGCTCCCGTCTTACTCGTGAACGGTAAATCCGTGTGCAATTCGTCCACCTGCATAATATAATAGTATCATAAGTGATGGTGATGATGATGATGAGGAGGAGGAGGAGGAGGAGGTATCAATCCCCCTGTGATAAATTTAGTATGATCGTTAGTGTTAAACGTACTTGCCATGACTTTCTATTTCAACGACGCTATCGTATTCTTGTTTGTCCAAACAGGCCACTAACCGACGGTTGTTCATTAATCTTCTTATGTGGGTATTGCAATAAGATAACAACCCTCGGGGCTAGATCATAAATGTCGAACACTCAACTATGGCTTTCAGTAGCTAACACCGAGAGTTCGAATTTCTTTGTCATACCTCAAATGTTAGAAATCATATACAATAGTATCTCCAAGTTTTTTTAACCTGTAGAATAACGCAAGTCTGTAATTAATGACAGACTACTCACCAAAATTTCGTTGCCTTTAAGTAACACGGTCTGGTCGTATATTTCAAATAAAACGGACTTGATCATAACAGGCTCCCCCTTGAGTCCCACTTCATTGTGGACAATGATCCTATAGTTGTTTGACGGATCCTCGGAATTGGTATGGTCAGACAGCAAATAGCTGCAGTTTCCAGGATGGTATATCATAGAGCCATCAAATGTCCTGTAGTGTATATGTCCAGACGCGGAACAGGTACACGGCTCTGAAACAGCAAAAAATAAGTCAGAAAATATTAACTATAGATAAATCTAAAGAGACATGTACGCCGATCATTCAGTTGTATCTTTAACATTGATTGATTGTTTTATCAAGCAAGTTATTAAAATAAAGATACCGTAGCTCGTTAGCTACATGGCCAGGTAAATAAAAAACCCATATATCAACAGACTCCATTTCTGTTACACTGTACAATACATAACACGAGTGTTGCAACGCACTGATATATAACAACAAACTGTACATATTACGTGCTATGGGTCGTATACCACACTGCAGAAACAGTATAAGGCTCTTTTATGCTAATGGATTAGGATAAGGGAAGTCCACCAAAGGGTTTTCAAATTGGCAAACCCTTAGAGTTACCGAGAGTTGTGCGACAATTTAAAATCCGAAGGATGGAATTTCCGTATCCAACATCTCTTACATTCCTCGGAATGAAAAGAGTATTTTTCTGTCCTTCCAATCACCAAAATGAGCTAAAAAGTCACAAAAAGGCGTCGGAATTTTCCCATCACAACATCAGAATGGTCCTGATTTAGTGATAGTGACGTCACGTCATTGTTGTTCCATTGTGACGCCAAGCCGGAGAAATTTGGTGAAAGATAACTTAAGATTAAAATTTCTTAAATCCATTCCCACCCTGGACATTTCTGTCATACACACAAAGGAGTGAGAAAAAACCCCGAAATGTATTACATAATCGACCAAAGTTGTGTGCGTAATTTTACTATAGTAATAAGATTACATACTGTGACACTTTAAACCGTTCCCAATGTAACCTTTATCACACACACACTTGTTGCGTTTGCAGGTGGCATGTTCGTCGCATTTCTTCTTTTGTCGCCCACAAAGTCCTGAAACACAAACATTGATTTTTTTAATGTCATCTTTGATTGTTGTTCCTTGACATATTATGACTGGGGTACAGAACATCTTATCTGCTGACAGCGCGTTTTTAAATTTGACAAGATATCATTTATCCTGGCAGTCACTTGATGATAAGCATTTATTTCAGTGTTAAGATTTGGACCTCTCTTGATGTGTTTTATGGGTTTACATCAACACTTTGAAAATTGTCCCTCCCGAATGGTATACGGACATGGTGACGACTGTCAGAGTTTAATAGTAAACTTGACCCCACATAACTTTCTTCCCATTTCTGGTTATTGTGAAAAATGTTTGGCATCGTTGTCAAGATTGAACAAAAGGCTTTTACAATCAACTAAATCTATACAAAATATGTTGTCATGAAACCCTGACCCCGTCCCATTTGAACCCAATTCTAACCCTGATTTAATCCCATCCTGATACCGTCCTCATCCTGACACACACCAAGAGTAACCATTTCACACCCTAACTAGATGAACTTTCATCCTGTTCTTATCCTCAACGACCCTATTTCCGTTCTAACCTTAGCATAGAGCGAACCTATGCCCGTCTTACCCTGACCAACAACGACCCTTATTCCGCCTAACCCTCACCGACAATATTCCCGTTCTAACCCTGGCCTAGAGCGAACCTATTCCCGGCTTACCATGAACCATACCGACGTTTATCCAGTCAAACCCTGAACCAGACAGACATTAATCCTGTCGAACCCTGAATAAGACCGACGTTTATCCTGTCGGACCCTGAACCAGACCGACGTTTATCCCGTCCAACCCTGAACCAGACCGACGTTTATCCCGTCAAATCCTGAACCAGACAGTCGTTTATATCTGTCCTTCCCTGAACCAGACAGTCGTTTATTTCTGTCCATCCCTGAACCAGACCGACGTTTATCCCGTCAAATCCTGAACCAGACCGATATTCATTTCTGTCCATCCCTGAACCAGACCGACGTTTATTTCTGTCCATCCCTGAACCAGACCGACGTTTATCCCGTCAAACCCTGAACCAGACCGATATTCATTTCTGTCCATCCCTGAACCAGACCGACGTGTATTTCCGTCCAACTCTGACCTGTTTTATCAATGACCAAGATCTGAGCGTGTCATGGATCATATTACTATTTACTATTTGAACAACGAAAACTTCTTCTAAAGATGTTACAGTATGTTTTAAGCAGTAAAAAATATGCAAAAAAAATATACTGATAACGACATTGAGGTTTTTTCTGTCATCTAGATATTCAAATTAGTTTATGTACCCTACTTTATTATTATTCTAACATGCATACTGCTTATGTTGCATTCGTTCGAATCAGGTTTCTGTTGCATAATTAGGCATGTCTAGAACAATGCTTAAACTCTAGTTGTCATCAAGTTTTATTTGAAAAGGCTTCATATTCACTTTTGCACTCCGACGTTGCATCTCCGTAGAAGCCACGATTACACTTGCATTTGTTTTGCCTACACATGGAGAATTTCACGCACTCGTATCCTCCACAGGTATCTGAAATATATATGTTTACATGCAAAAAATCTGACAATATACATACAATATTTAAACCACATGCAAATACTTGGTCAACAGTAGTAATAGTGTAAGCACAACACAAAGTTCACCAAATATATTTAAAGTGTAAGGACATTACAAATGTTTGGTCAACATTAGTTATTGTGTAAACCAATCACACAAGAACTCGGTCAACAGTAGTTATAATATAAACACATCACACAGATACTTGGTCAACAGTAGTTATATTATACACACATCACACAGATAATTGGTCAACAGTAGTTATAGTGTACACACAACACACAGATACTTGGTCAACAGGAGTTATAGTATACACACATCACACAGATACTTGGTCAACAGTAGTTATAGTGTACACACATCACACAGATACTTGGTAAACAGTAGTTATAGTGTACACACATCACACAGATACTTGGTCAACAGTAGTTATAGTATATAGTATAAACACATCACACAGATACTTGGTCACCAGGAGTTATAGTGTACACACATCACACAGATACTTGGTCAACAGCAGTTATTGAGCAAACACAACACACCGTTCCCTGTACCACTAGTTATGAAAATCGCTACATTTGTAAGGTGAAACATTTTCGTGATGAGATGATTGTCACTTTTCTTGAATTCAAGCTATCAACTAAAACCGATTCCTTATAAAGTTACGATCAAATTCCTAATGTAGTCCCTTCAAATGCAAATTTAAGCATTCGAGATAAATTCTTCATGCCATTGCTTTTGAAATAAATTACTTTACAGATTAAATGAAACACACAGAGTGTTGGCAGTTAGTAGTTAAACTGGATGAACACTAAACACAGAAAGGTAACTACCTGTGGTTAAAGTATAAACGCTATACATGGCGTGTGTATCTTAGTTAAAGTATTAACACAATACAGAGTGGTGTGTCCTCTTAAAATATACACTTCATACAGAAAATTGTCCACTAGTCGATATACCCCTACCCCCCCCCCCCTCCCACACACACACACACACACACATACTTTTGGCTATATCCGTTTTGTCAAATATCTCAAATACAATTCAAACCATTTAAAACGTGACTTAAACTATATTATTTGTTTTTTTCTCACTTGAACTCACCTGAACATTTTATATGACCTATACCATAAAATCCGTCTTTACAAACACATCTATTTCGGACACACTTAGCGTTGTCAGTACATTCCTTATTGCCACAAATAACTGAAAAGGAAAACAGTTTATAAATAAATTCAACAAATTAATCATTACCATTTCTGGTTTTATCTCTTAGTAACAGTTATTATAGTATCTCTGCTATGCCCCTTTCTCCACATTAAACCTTGGTATACCATATTCGAACTCACGTGTCATAACAGTACAAATGAACCTTGTTATACCCCTTTCACAGTTTTATACCTCTATCTCAGAATTACACCTTGTAATACCCCTTTCCTGTGTTATAGTTGTATCTCAGAAGTACACCTTGATATACCCCTTCAACAGTGTTATACCTCTATCAGCGATGGCCGACAAGAGCCTGACAAAAAGATATGGATTTTCATATCTTTCTGTACCACGGAACACTTTTACATGGTACACAAATATTTGAATTTTCATATCTTTTTGTCAGGCTCTTATCGACCATCGTATGTATCTCAGAATTACATCTTGTTATACCCCTTTCACAGTGTTATACTTGTATCTAACAATTAAACCTTGCTATATCCCTTCAACTGTGTTATACTTGTATCTCAGAATTACACCTTGTTATACCCCTATCACAGTGTTATACTTGTATCTAACAATTACACCTTGTTATACCCCTTCAACAGTGTTATACTTGTATCTTACAGTTACACGTTGTTATACCCCTTCAACAGTGTAATACCTGTATCTAACAGTTACACCTTGCTATACCCCTTCAACAGTGTTATACTTGTATCTAACAGTTACACCTTGCTATACCCCTTCAACAGTGTTATACTTGTATCTTACAGTTACACCTTGTTATACCCCTTCAACAGTGTAATACTTGTATCTCACAATTACACCCTGCTATACCCCTATCACAGTGTTATACCTGTATCTAACAATTACACCTTGCTATACCCCTGTCACAGTGTTATACTTGTATCTAACAATTACACCTTGCTATCCCCCTTCAACAGTGTTATACTTGTATCTTACAGTTACACGTTGTTATACCCCTTCAACAGTGTAATACCTGTATCTAACAGTTACACCTTGCTATACCCCTTCAACAGTGTTATACTTGTATCTTACAGCTACACCTTGTTATACCCCTTCAACAGTGTTATACTTGTATCTTACAGTTACACCTTGTTATACCCCTTCAACAGTGTTATACTTGTATCTAACAATTACTCCTTGCTATCCCCCTTCAACATTGTTATACTTGTATCTAACAATTACACCTTGCTATACCCCTTCAACAGTGTTATACTTGTATCTTATAGTTACACCTTGTTATACCCCTTCAACAGTGTAATACCTGTATATAACAGTCACACCTTGCTATACCCCTATCACAGTGTTATACTTGTATCTAACAATTACACCTTGTTATACCCCTTCAACAGTGTAATACCTGTATCTAACAGTTACACCTTGCTATGCCCCTATCACAGTGTTATACTTGTATCTAACAATTCCCCCTTGCTATACCCCTTCAACATTGTTATACTTGTATCTAACAATTACACATTGCTATACCCCTTCAACAGTGTAATACCTGTATCTAACAATTACACCTTGCTATACCCCTTCAACAGTGTTATACTTGTATCTTACAATTACACCTTGTTATGCCCCTACAACAGTGTAATACCTGTATCTAACAAATACACCC